TGCAATGATAAAGGGAAACATGGGGTCTAGGGGAGCAGAGAGTAAGAAGCCAGTAATTGGTATTAAGAGTTCTTCTTTAAGAACTGATGTTTGTGTTAAAGCTTAATTCATGAGTAGGAGTTAACCGCAGAAAATGTTGTGGTAGATAGAGAGGGAGGGGACCACTCCAGCTATAAGCAAAGGTAGAGAGGAACAGACCACTGGTGTCCAGACCTCTATGAGGCACTAGATCAAATGCATTTAACTATGTATCTTCATATTTGTTCTTTCCCTTGAGAGTGTCAGTTTCAGAAGAGTGCAACATTTCTTCCATGGTTGTACCTTGAGGCAGTGTCACGTGACAGAAAGAGAGCAATGACATGGATATCACAGAACTTGATTTGCTTCTCACTGCTCCCAATAGCCATGTGACCTAGGACAAAGCACTGTAACCTTTAGGCTTCAGATTCCTCATATTTTAGGCTGGGCAATAGGGTTTGTGAGTGTTCTCTTACATGAGATCCTCTAGGTAAGGCAGCAGCAAGACATTCAATGGATGTTGAAGTAGACTGAGGTCTTTTCTTTTAATTTTTTTTAAACATTTATTCATTTTTTGATAGAGAGACCCAGAGCGTAAGCGGGGGAGGCGCAGAGAGAGGGAAACACAGAATCCGAAGCAGGCCTCAGGCTCTGAACTGACAACACAGAACCCAATGTGGGGCTCGAACTCACGGACCGTGAGATCATGACCTGAGCTGAAGTCGGACGCTTAAGCAACTGAGCCACCCAGGCTCCCCTAAGTGGACCAAAGTCTTTTGATGATCCATGATTCAGCTGATATTTATGTTATTTTTGAATGTATATTTTTCTTTCATGTTTCTGGTGTGTAAGTACAGTCTTAGATTGAGAACAACCTTGTGAGTGACTTAAGCATCAGAATCAACCCTGTGACAATTCCTTCATCTGTACAGTGAAGAGCTCTGTTTAGGTGCTCTTTTACTTTTGAATTTTGTTAAATGTTTATTTAGTTTTTGAGGGCGTGAGGGAGAGAGAGAGAGCAAGCTGGGGAGGGGCAGAGAGAGGAGGCAGGGAATCCCAAGCAGGCTCCATGCTGTCAGGACAGAGCCTGACGTGGGGCTCAAACTCATCAACCGCATGATCATGACCTGAGCCAAAACCAAGAGTTGGATGTTTAACTGACTCAGCCACCCAGGTGCCTTACCCTTCTACTTTTGAAACCTGAAGATTTTGATTCAAAGACAATCCTAATTATAAGCACCGAGTAGTGTATGGAGTTGTTGAATCACTATATTCTACACCTGAAACTAATATAACACTGTATGTTAACTATACTGGAATTAAAATAAAAAACCTAATAGTAATTAAAAAACAAAGACAATCCTAGTTAATGGAGCCATGTGCTACTCCCTCCAGGGGAGGGCTGTGTCCCTATGCTCAGGGGACTCAAGAGATACATTTACTATGTTATTATTAACTTTTTGGGGGGCTCTTCAATGTAATATGGGTAATTTCCATTTTTGCTATATATCATTTGAATTTCTATTTTCAATGAAATTAAACTTTAAAAACTTTTCTCTCTCCAACTATTGGATATTGACAGTAATTGCTTGCAGAAAGTGGTTTTAGGTCACTCCTCTAATTGGTTTTACATAATTGATTTGGGAATATGTTTTATAAACTTGAATTTTGACACTTGTACCCAGAACACAATTTATTTCATTGTATCCAGGAACCGTCAATTTTAAGGTGTATCATTATTATATAGACAACTAGAAAAGAAAAACTGCTTCCAATTAAACTATGGCACAGTAATTTCTTATCACTCTGAGTCTTTAAAAAACTCATCGAAAAGAGCTCCTTTAGACTTATTTAGACATAAGCTTTTGCCACATGTAATTCTTGTGCATTTATTTTTTAAAAGTGAAATTAATTGATTAAGGTACTAATAAAACTTCTTCACACTCAAAGTAAAACTTTTCAGGTTCACTATTCAATTCAAAGCTATTGATATCTGGTCTTTCCCATACTATGGCCACTGGTGATACAGCGTTTCTTGAAAGAGGGGAGCATTATTGCAACGGGTATCTCCTGAGGTACTGATCCTAATTCTGCAAATTTTTAACAAAATTTTTTTAATGTTTATTTATTTTGAGAGAGAGAGATAGAAAGAGACAGCAGTGGAGGGGCAGAGATGGGGAGACAGAATCTCAAGCAGGCTGTAGGCTCTCAGTGCAGAGCCTAATGCAGGGCTTGAACTCACGGACCGTGAGATCATGACCTGAGCCGAAATCAAGAGTCAGATGCTTAACCAACTGAGCCACCCAAGCGCCCCCATCATTCTGCAACTTTTAATACCTATAGATAGGCAATGACAACTGCATCAAGCTTTCTACCTACCAAACCAACAGCATTCTAATTTTAAAGTTAATTGTGAAATAAAGAAAGGTAAGTCAAATATGCCTGAAAAACAGTGAAAGTATGGTGTAGAATGTACCTGAGGCTCATCAACTGGTCTGGTGCTTATTTTGCTCACTAGGCATCTGTATAATGTGCACTGATAAGCCGGGAGTCCCATTTTCAACTCCAGGACCAATATTTCACTTCATGAAGTTAGAAAAGGTCCATCACAACTGTTTTATTGTTTCTGTTAAAATTCCATTCTGAACCCCAAAGTCTACAGCATCACTTAATGCTGATCAAATTGCACCTTGGTGACATGCCCAGTGCCATATGACTCTTCCAAGAAAATAGGAACATTCATTTCCCAATAACAGTAACTGCAAGAGTTCATATGATACAAAAGAAAAGTTTCTTTTTTTCCCTCTGATTTTATATTTTATCTCATCAATTTTCCCTTTCTATTTCACTTCGAAAATTGCTGCACAAATCTCTGGTGGAACTATGTGTGTGAGAAAGGCTTTTTACTTACTTTCAGTTCCTACCATTTGTACTTCCCATTATGCACCTGACATACCAGGTAAGTGAAATGACCTGCGGAAGAGGGCCTCTGGGAACAGACTGGGCATCGTACGGCAGCCCCTGAAACTATAGCAACATTACCCTGGGTCTCCCTGGTGAGTTATCCACAGGTTTCTTACTAGCAAGCTCACTATATTTATTATAGCTTACTCATCTATTCTTCTATATATTCAGCAAAAATTTATGGACCAGACTCCATACAGTTACCTGAGATACAGTGCATACAGGAAATATCCCTGCCTTCTATGAGTTCAGAGTCTAGCAATAAGATATAAAAGATAATGGAAGAAATCAGAACAGGCTTTAAGTGCCAAGATCAAGGTAAGTGTTGGGTATTATGAGAGTAGTGAAGGGGGCTGGGTCGCTCCGGGCTGGGTCACTCCGATAAGAACAAGGTGGGGAGGGGCGCCTGGGTGGCTCAGTCAGTTAAGCCTTCGACTTCAGCTCAAGTCATGATCTTGTGGTTTGTGAGTTCGAGCCCCACATTGGGCTCTGTGCTGACAGCTCAGAGCCTAAAGCCTGCTTCAGATTGTGTCTCCCTCTCTGCCCCTCCCCTGCTGGAGCTCTGTCTGTATGTCTCTCTCTCAAAAACAGACATTAAAAAAAAAAAAAAAAGAACAAGGGGGGAAAGTAACATGAATTGAAAGAGTACGTATTAGGTTCCAACAATAGTACAGAAGATCCCATGTACACATCCCTCAAATCCCCTCCAATGGTGGCATGTTATAGAACCACTCTACATTGTCAAAAGCAGGAAATTGATATTGGCACATTACAATAACAAGTCCACAGACGTGACTCAAAAGTCACCAATTTTCACATGCACTCATTTTATCTTTGTATAAAATGAATGGATTTAAAAATTTTTTGATGTTTATTTATTTTTTTGAGAGGGAGGGACAGAGTGCGAATAGGGAAGGGGCAGAGACACAGGGAGACACAGAATCCGAAGCAGATGCTACAGGCTCTGAGCTGTCAGCACAGATCCCGACACGGGGCTGGAACTCACAAACGACGAGATCATAACCTGAGCCGAAGTTGGACACCTAACCAACTGAGCCTCCCAGGCGGCCCTAAAACGAATAGATTTTAAACCCGAGAATTTTTTTTTTTTAATTTTTTTTTTCAAAATTTATTTATTTTTGGGACAGAGAGAGACAGAGCATGAATGGGGGAGGGGCAGAGAGAGGGAGACACAGAATCGGAAACAGGCTCCAGGCTCTGAGCCATCAGCCCAGAGCCTGACGTGGGGCTCGAACTCACGGACCGCGAGATCGTGACCTGGCTGAAGTCGGACGCTTAACCGACTACGCCACCCAGGCGCCCCTAAACCCGAGAATTTTAACGGAGCAACTTGCAGGGCATGTGGGAAGAAGACAAGTTCAGAATTCAATCACAAATTGCCTTCTTTCTCCAATATGCTCATTAGTTTCCTTCTGTGTCCACTGAGCAGAGGTGACCTCACTCCAAAGAGTGGCACTGACATAGGAGACAGACAAACTGAGAGCAATCAATCAATCAGTCCCAACCTCCATCTGGGTGTTGTGCCAGTCAGGAGATGAGCCAGCTGTTGAGCATTGCCAGTGGCATCCAGCTATATGTATTTCATGATACGTCACTGGTGTCAGGTGACACAAAGTTTTTATTTGAATTTTGATGAAAATGCTAAGGTGGTACCCTGGAAACATACGTGGGCCTTGGGGTCAGACCAACTAGTATCTGAAATCAAACTGCCATTTACCAGCTCTGTAACCATGAATAAATCACCTTATCTGAGTGGCAGCCTCTTCATCTGTGAAATGGGCATGCAAATAGTACCTCCCTGGAAGGAGATAATACCTGGCAATTAGTAGGTGCTCACTGAAAGGGGAACATTCCCCTTTCGTTCTCCTGTGTCCATTAACGTTCTCCTGTGACTGTGACTTGTACTTTCTGTATCTTAATGGTATGACCCATCAATGTTTACTTTTTTCCTTTTAAATTATAGAGCGCCTGTGAGTTTGCAAAATGCTTACACATACCTATTTCTTGTTTGCTCCTCTCAACAGTCTGGTAAGACTCCTAAGGATGAGTCGCCTGAGGTTACACAGGTAGTAAGTGGTGGGGCCAGATCTAATCTCCGGTCTAATGATTTCAAATTCCGTGTTCTTCCTGCTGTACCTGGCCATCTCCCAGGTGCCAAAGGGGTTGTCAAGATTCTTCTGAGGAAGAGAGATGAAATAGCTCTGGATAATTTAGGGGCAAAGGAAAGATAGCTTTCAAGTTTATAACATAGCCAAACCAGGACTGTGAGTTTGTCCCTTCAGGGGAGCACCCAGGAGCACTTGACAGTGATATTGAGTTTTGTTTTGCTTTATGTATTTCCTGTGGCAGAGAGAGGATATTTTTTGTCCTTTCTCCTGTTCTCTGCCAAGTCATCTGTTTGGTTGCCCATTAACTGAGGATATATGGTGTGTTTCTCTTTTCTTCTCTAACCCAGAGTGAAAAGGTACCTAGATAATAGATCACTTTTTTGTTTCTGTTGGGGACCTGTTGTTTCTGGGGTAATTAGCAAACAGCTTGGCAAACGTTATTGGGCAGAGGACAAACAGGAAACACACATAATTATTTCTCCTAGTTAGAGACCAGAAGCTACATTTATCCCCTTGGGAAAGGAATATAAAACATCTCCAGTAAATATATCTTGTCAGGTAGCTGTTCTCCACCAGGGAAAATCTCCACAGCTCCTGGTACAGAAACACCAAGAAGCATAGCTAGTCCATCATCATTATTAGCCTTCTCTCCATCCTGTCTTCACTCATAAAAGTGTGGTCTCTCTGCCTCATGGAGTCAGTTCGAATTGGAGCCTGGTATGGAATGTGCTTTGGTGTGAGGGGACAGTGTGGGATTTGGGTAGGGGAAGCAGGTCGACTGGAGTGGATTCCCAAATCCTTGATTGCCTGTGTGACCCCGGGGAAGCCTTCATAATCGTGGATTCTCATAATCTTTTTGTAATTGTAATTCTCATTTACATAATGTGGGTTCCAATATATCCTTTAAAGTGTTAATGTGATGATTCAATAAGACAATATATGTTAAATGCATAAAATAATGGTCTGACATATAGTAGATGCTGGATAAATGTCAACCTCAATTCTTTCTTCCTCTGATGTTCCTGTGCGTCCCTAAAGGCAAGCAGTAAAAAAAATATATCTATTATGTCTTAAAGAGCTGATCAATCTTGCCTGATTACCTACATTATTGCACCTCTCAGGGCCCTGGCCCTCTTGGCAATGAGGTTCAGACGTTCTTTGCCTGCTGAGCACTGGGCTGCCATCTTGGGAGGGCTCTTGGAGCTTCTGCTGGGTCACTATGCCCCAAGCATTTGCCCTTACCCACCATGGGAGGTATGGGAGCAATTCTCCAGCTAATTTGACAGTTACATGGAAGAGTGTTTCCCAAATCACAAGGTTGTTGAGATTAAACTGGTAATTACCACATGCAGACTTCCCCGAGTGTTCACTTGTCTGTATCCAACACTGACTGAGTGACTGGGATTTTGAGTGGCCTTTGAGCCAGATTTAAATTGTGGCAGATGTGAACAAACATCAAGACTAGGGAGAAGTTATTAGTGATGACACAGTGCTCTGCCACGGGGTGTGGGATGTGTCAGTCAGGGCTGCAGACCTTGGAATGCAGGTCCTTTCTTCAACGTGGCTGAAGCCTATTATCCTGCCTTACTGAGCACAGACACCTTCCTGGCAAAGCCTTCCTGAACCCTCCTTTCCTCAACTCAAGCTAGAGTAATTGCTCTAGATCTATATACTGATGGCATCCACAGTGATCTCCATACCCTGTGACAATTCTTGATGAATGTATGAGTTGTATGCCTCTCCCAGACTGTTCTGCTCTATGACACAGAACTATACTGTCACCACCTGTGCCACCTCCTAAGAGAAAAGCTGACTGACTCCTTTTAGGGAAAGTGGATCAGGAAACTTTGTTTCCAACACTCTTCTCCCTGGAACACCCACCTCCCCCCCACCCCCCCACACACTGTGCTTCTTGGTTAGCATTAGAGTTGACTACAAACAAGAGGGAAAATCAATAGCAGTGGCTAAACCCAAGATACAGCCTTATTTCTCTCCCAAGTGAAAGAAGTGTCAGACTGAGAAGTCAAAATGTCATGGTGGCTCCTTTCTTTGGGGCCACAGAGACTCAGGGTCCTATCTTTATTCTCTATCATGTCTTCAAGGTTACTTTATGATCCAGGATTCGTACTGGTACTGTAGGTGGCAAGGACAAGGTTCAAGCTGGAAGAAGGAGGACAGTCGAGAAGAGCAAACTGGAGGCACACCTCAGCTAAGTTGGCTTTCTTTAAGTATGAATCAGTCTACACCATTCCTGTATACACCTCTTCAGCCAGAACGTTAAGTGCATGGCAGCATTTGGCTGCCCGTTTTTTCCCTAAGAAGGCAAAGTGCCCTGCCAAAAATTGGGGTTCTGATATTAAGCAGTTCGGAGAGAATGTGCCTTGAGCTGGGCAACTAACAGCCACAGCATCCAGGATAAAAATTTAAGACAAACACACAAACAAACAAAACAATGCAAGTGAAGGGAGTTACATTTCCCTCCTCTATGAAGACTCAAACCCTAAAAGCTATTTCTCCTGACAAAGCACAATTCAGATGTCTGTCTTGGGGAGAGAGACAAAGATGGGAAAAAATGATGCCCCTTTTCAGTTTCATGGAAACAGCCCAACGAAATCAACGAGTGAGAAAAAATTAACACATTAATATGTATTAATTTCCTACTTGCTGCAGGCACCAGCACACATTTCATCTTATTTGAATTCTCACAACATCCCCCAGAGGTAAATACTATTACTTTCATTTTGTATATGGAGGCTCAAGTTCAGAGAGGTTAAATAACTTGCTGTAGGTTGCAGAGCTGGTAAGTCATGAAGCTGAAATTTAAACTGAATCCCCTTACAAATAGCTGCTGCTCCCTGTTTAATAGTAACTCTCAACACAAAAGTAGAAGAGGGAAGAAGAGGCATGACAACATCTCCGATTCAAAGAACAAAATGCCCTTGAATTTTGGTTTCAACATTTGGTGTAGAATACTAAATGTTCATAGTTCCTTTCAAGTACAGACACTTGTCTGATAGACAACATTTTCTGCATACATGAATTCTGAAAATATTTTAAATCTCAACCAAGATGCTCTATACTCGTGGTGGAGGGGGAGAGGAGAGCTGAATGCACGACTTCAATGTCTGAATGTGCGTGGCCTGCTGGCCACAGAACTTGGAACTCTGGAGGACTCATCCCATGCTAAAGCAATGCTAATGCCTGTTGAGAGTTAGGCCACTCCAGGCTTCTAGGATGGGTGGAGGGGCAAGTAAGGGAGACAGTGTCGGAGCTTCTGAAGGCAGCTGTGAGTGCAATCCCTTAGGGACCAAAGGGAAGTTAGAGGACACTATGGCCAGCCTCCCACACATAGCCAAATGTTCTCTGATACCCCTTATGAGTAAGCATCCAGCCCTTAAAGGAAGATTAACATAGGAGGCTTGCTGTTTTCCATGCATGGTGCCTTTCTATACATTATCTTCAATAATCCTAATGTTGTACCTCTAAGCCTATGAGAGAGGTAGAGATCATTCCTTTATATATATATTTATATATGTATTATATTTACATATAATATATATATATATTAATAGATTTTTTTTGAGAGAGAGAGAGACCGAGTGTGAGTGGGGAGGGGCAGAGAGAGAGAGGGAGACACAGAATTTGAAGCAGGCTCCAGACTCTGAATTTTCAGCACAGAGCCCAATGTGGGGCTCGAACTCATGAACCAAGAGATCATGATCTGAGCTGAAGTCAGATTCTCAACCGACTGAGTCACTCAGGCACCCCATCCTTTCCTTTTGTAACTGAGTTCATGGTTGGGTATGTAGGACTCTCCAGAAACCACACAGCTAGGATGATTAGCCAGGCCATCTGGCTTCAAAGTGAATGTTCTTTCCTTGCATGGTCACTGCATCCTTGTCTTGGTTCTTGCTCCATACTTCACTTGTTCCGGCTGGCTAGATGGCAATGGCACCACCATCTCTTCCACACAGGACATAATCGGCACACCATTCATCAGTTAATTGACTTCTCCAGGATACTGGTCAGCTTCTTCAATGGTTTTCCTGACCACAGCTCCCCAAGCTGAGCATACCCTTCTGGCTGTGGTCAGGATGGAATGGGGTTTGCCCTCTTCGCATTTAAA